TATTCAATGTGATGTATTGTTATACCATTACGTGACAATCATTTATACCTTGATATAGTACTTTAGAATAAAGGTGGTATTACCATGTCTGGTAAGTGGGTGGCATTAAAGTAGAAGTCATTAGAATATGTGTAGGATTGGATAGAGCAAGCGGAAGGGTCTGTGAAAGAGAAAGAGCATGTGGGGGTGGGCAGTGTATCTCTGAGCCTGTCACTGACAATCAACTCGTGGTCCGGGGCTAGTTGACAGTCAAGGACACGTGCACACACCCAAAGACGTCCCCTGTCTCGCTTTGATCATTACCCTCCACAAAAAGTGAGTTTCATAATATAGATTGGAGTGAATTTAAAGACACATCCACCAAATCCTCACCCATAAAATCTGCTTTGATTTGACACAAGAGCCTCGTGTCTGATAGCGAAGGCCTAACAAGCAGTGCTTGTGTCCATGGAGATATCACAGAGATGGCCAGGGGCTGGACCATGTCAGTGGCGTGCCACTGGGTGTGTATGTATGTGTGCGCAAAGCCAGGCCCAGCAGGCTGTTTGCCCCATACTGCCTGAAGGACGTGAGTCCTGCCGGAGCAGGCAGAGGGCCAAACTCTCTCATATTTCCATCCGGAGCCTGAGGATAGAACTGGTCACTGGAGCCACACAAATTTAAGTGTCATCCCTGAATCAAGATGCTCACCAATTTTCTGCTTGCCTTAGCAGCGAGCTGGGCCGCTACCAGTGGCTAAGAGAGCCAGTTGCCCCATGGCAGCATGGACTATATAGTGGATCGTGCAAGAAGTGCACATGCAGTCAAGAAATCTTGGCTGTGTTAGTTTGTTTGTTGGTTTGTTTGTTTTTAATCCTCATCAGCGTGCACTGCAGTTGTGTAACTTAACGAAAACATTCATTTTTGCATTGCAGTTCATCAGCACAGCATTGAAGAATTTTTTTGCCTTTTTTTATTTGAAAACTCTGCTGAACCCTCACCAACACATTAGCCGCACTGTCACGTTGGGCGCTAATTCGTTTCCACAGAAGATCTGCAAGAGAGGTTAATTTAAGGCCAAGGAGATCCCACGCACTGAGAGAAAATACAGCCATTCATTCAGAGAGAGAGAGAGAGAGAGAGAGAGACTGCAAAGGAGCGACGGTGGATAGAGAGAGTGAGAGAGAAAGAGAGTGGGGTCAGCTGATGAGGTCAACATTGTGAGATTTGGAGAGAGTGGGTTGGGAGAGACGCAGGTGTTTCACCAGACCCGTAGCCCAAAGGAAAAACACGTGTCACTGATGCTCCCTCACATGTTTTCCTCATATCATCCTTCCATTCCTTTCATCTTCTACTTTTCCATGTAAAGATTTCTACATGAAATATACATGAACAGTTCGACGAACAATTTGATTTCTAAAGAAATCTAGAACCAAGATTATGTACCTTATTTCCCTTATTTCAAGTTTTTGACGAGTCAATCTGTATTCATGTAATTTTCATCATTTAAAATCTCTGATAATGGTTTCAAGCAATTAAACCCTCAGACAATCAATCATCTCTCCATCACCCAGGCATTTCAATTTCAGCTTAAATTATTTCAATTTTAACAACAACAACAACAAAACTAGGTAGTTTCGTTTTCTAATTAGTGGAAAAAAGATGCAATCATGGCTTTCAGCATTCATGTTGCTGCAGTGGCCTGTATTCAACCTCACCTACTACTCTACAGACCTGTCATTATAGAGTCACCCTAAATCACCCCAGGAAGTAAATCAAAAGGTCAGAGTAATTCCGCAGAGCTATATATCATTGGAGTCTTAGATATGAGCAGGGAACCAATCTCTCACAAACAGACGCTAAGAAAGAACACGAGGCATGGGCCAAATGAACAGCAGCCTTCATTACTGATCAAATGAGGCTCGCTCTAATGATGAGGTAATGTGATCAGGGTGTGGTCCTCAGCTTTCCACTAATGTCCTGGCTCAACCAGGCCCATCACCATCACCCAGGGGAGAGAGACAAAGAAATGATGGGAGAACCTTCTTGGAAGCTTCTATTGATCCGGCGTAACATAAAACCGGACTTCATCTAGAGAGGGAAGAAGAAAATGTGTCAAGCAAAAGTTAAATGAAAAATTGCTTTTATACTGAGGCATTTATTATTCGAAGTCCCTCAGAGGAAGAATAATAGGGAGAGAGAGGTACTCAATGAGAGGAGGAAGGGAGGGAGGGCGGAGAAGAAAAAAAATCCATTTGGTAAAGTAGATGCGGATCGATGGTGACAGAGCGGAGCAGTCTTGGCGCATGCCGTCCCACATTACTGCCCTGATTGATCTGCCGGAGTGGCAGTCTGACCCGAGGGTTCTGGAGGAGGTGTCCCACTGAGGAGGGGAGCCCACGCAAAAACACAGGGAGAGAAAAACAAAAATCAATACACTCAGAGAACTTTACTGACCTGACGTTAAGATACAAGAAATGTATGAAGCTGCGTACCTGAATGGGTTCTGACAGCTCACATCCCCTCCAGCAGTTCAGTGCACAGGAGGGTTGCAGTCTCGGGCAAGTGCAGCAACCTCTGTGAACATTAAGGAGACTTGTACCCTCCGTCCGGAGACTCTTTTAAATACAAATTTGTTTGTTTCTCAAACTGAGAATGATTTTAAGGGATTTAGTCTAGGGCTACTTACCTCACTCCTGCTATTTTTTTAAAGGAGCTCAAAAAACAGAAATTTCAGTGCAAGAAAGAACATTTCAAGATGAATTTCTCCCTTAGATAGCTTTGAACCCAATGAACAACAAGAACATACATTTACATATATAGAGAGCTTCTGAGGGTGACCTCCATTTTGTGGAAGGCTCTCTGTTTTAACAGAGCCTCTGTAATGTTGTAATGTCAATTATCCGGCACACGGTTGTGTGATATGGGCTGTACGTGCATGGAAATGATTGTGTGAGATGCTTCAGTGAGATAAGTCCATGAGGTTCATGTTTGGGTTGAAGTATTGGTTGCTTGACCGAGAATGTTCTGGCATGGATGAAGTGGCTGATTTATTGACCATCATGCGAACAGAAAAGAAAAGCGTGGGAGATTTTTTTGATCGCAGAGGGTGAGGTGACATCTCTGTGTTATTGGTTTTTGTACTGTGGCTACTGTGGTTAAGGAAATGGTGAAGTTATGCTAAGCTAAGATGAGATGCAATTTTCTTAAGATGAAAACCGCAGTTTTCTGTCAGGTGTCAACATAAACAGACAACAGGGATGTTTTAATATATTTTATATCAACATCATTCTGGGTCCTTTTTCCATGAAGAGATAGACATTTCTAAATGCCTATACATGCTAAAAGTCATTTTGTCAATGTTTAGGAGAACATTAGCATATAGATGGCCTCAAAACATTGGACTAAAGCTACAAATGATGAAATAGTTGGATTTCATGGGGCATTTAATACTTGTAGGTATTTAAAAATAATAATAATTTTTTGTCAGCATATTTTGAGCATCTACATTTAATGTGTGTATTGTGTTATGTATGTGAGTGTGTGTGTGTGTGTGTGAGAGAGAAAGAGAGTCAATAAGTTAATGTAATTAAGTAAATATATTAAAAGAAAAGCCTTCAAAAATCTTACCTTACATCCTGCAAACTGTGGCTAATCGTTTCTGGCATATCTGATAAATGATTTAAAGAAACAACATTAATTTAATTTACATGTTTGTTGATATTAATTGATATGAACAACAGCAGTTTGAGTAGTATTATTTGTTCGACAAAAAGAATGTAGAGAGAGATAATAAGACTGAGAGAAAGAGAACAAAAAGCTATTTCTCCATTGTTACGTATTCCACATTTGATTCATGTGAGCTTTGAGAAAAGGTCAGTGAAAACAGAAGATGAATTCATTTATAGTCTGTCCTCTCCCTTCTGTCGCCCGTGGACATTGATCTGTCCTCTGTAACCAGAGTAACAGCGAGAGCTTTTTAAACCTTACTGTGAATGATGCACCTATTCAGATGCATCATTTGGCTGTGTCATCCCGCTTCTTATTGTTTCTGAACGATTCAGCATGTGGATCTAATGCTCTGGATTGGTTCATGCAGATATGTTGTTTCATCAGAGAACAAATATATACACATCACATTTAAAGCTGAATGTACACTTTAAGTTTCATCACTAGAACAATAAAAGTGTTTTGTTGCACCCTGCGGTCCTCACTAAAACTAAAACCAAGGTGGCACATGAGATGAAAAAAGATGAGGCTCTGTTTTGAATTACAGACCCATGCCCGAGACAACAGTACACCGAGAGCTGTCAGCAATCCACCTGTCCACCTATCCCTCTCTCCTCTCCCTCCTCCGCTGACAGTTCATTTTCTAGATCCCGACACCTGGACGCTTACACGAACATTTTAAAGATCTGCAGAGGACGCCAAGCCCCTCCCCCCAGCCCCAGCCCCCTCCATCCCTTCCGATGCAGAAGTGTCTCCTCCATCATGTAGTGCTGGATGCCTCCGATTACACTCCTCCTCTATTCCATCCATCCAACAGAAAGGTCACGCTCAGTATCTCTCCTTTTCCTAAATTGGCTGTTTTCCCTGTTAGTGCCACGGCTCAAGCTGTGATTGCGGCAGCCTCGGTATTGGTCCTCTAAGGTCTTGTTTACGAGGCTGGATTTGCTGGAAAGCCCATGATATTAAATCTACAGTAGGAGGCTTGCTGTTTTTCCCAACTTGCACTTTCTATATCCCACACAAATTTGTCTATGGCCTGGAGTGTGAAAAAATACTTCCGTTTCATCAGCAAATATCCTATTCTATATATCACCCGTTCTCTGCATGCACTTATAGCACCTGTTTTCATTACACTGTATATATAAAACCCAACTAAATTTAAACGATTGTGTCTTTCGAGTCCGAATCAAAGCCACCTGTGTGTTTTAGTGTGCCTGGAGACCGTCAGGAGCGTTTGTTTGGTATGGAGAAAATGGGCATGTTTGAATATTGACCCTGCCCCCCTCCCGTAGGGATCGACAGAGACTCAGTGGCGTCAGGCAGACCTGCCGCAGCTCCAGGGCTGGGCTGAGAAGGGACTGCTGACACAGCCAAAGATGGTAAGGAGACTGCTGCCCACTAACTGCCATTTTTACCCCATTAATAGACATATTGCTACTATGAAATTGTGCTATGAGAGGGAGGGTGTGTGCAGGGGAAAAGTAAAACAGGCCTAATGATAAGTTTTAAATAAAACTTATTATTAGTATTATTACTGTAATTGTTATTAGGAGTGGTACTTTATGATATATTTTGGATGGATGTTGTATTGTCAATATGTATAATGTCTGTGCAACATTTCAGTGTCTTGTGCAAGTGAAAAAATTACATAAATCTCTTTAGTCGTTAAAAAAAAAAAAATCAAATTTCTTCCCTTTATTTTACCTAGATTTCACCTGAAGATGATTCCCAGTGTTGTTTTCTCTCAGATTTAACTGTCACAGGTCAACATAAATAAGAGCCGACATCAATAGGAAGGAGCACTAGCATCAGAAGGCTCTGGTAATAACTGGAGAGCATTACCACTAAAAACACACATCAGAATAGTAGCCTGACATTTTATCATCTTAGCTAATAAGGCCATTAAAGTGCCATGTTGAAATGGCAGGTATCATGACACACACCGAAATGCATCTATCTGCAGTGCTGTGAACATACTCACACACACACACCTCTGGCTCTGCGTGACTCAGGGACATTGGACTGGTTGAACCTGTATTTTTATCCCTGTCCTGACATCCTCTAAGGCACTTATGTAAGACAGAGTGGCAGAGCCTCTTCCTTCCTGCATACACTCACACAGACGCGCACGCTCGTAGCCTGAGCCGTACCGAGCAGCGTTCAGAAACAGTCGGCATATCTGCCATTGCGTTTGAAAAAATAAAGGAATTTAATCTGGGGCTACTGTTACGTTGGATCAAAGGGAAGATGATGTCTGTCCCCCGGCTGACACCAAGGCCTTTGTGATGGCTTAGCATGTCTGGCTGTCTGCTTGCCTTGCCTGTCTGTCTGTTTAACTGTCTTCCTGCCTTCCACAGCTAAAGCATAAACAGATAGAGCCAGCTAGGCTCTGTCTTAGCTAGCATCCGAACCACAATAGTTTATACTGTGCTGTTCCGTTAAAAGTGCTGTTTGTGCACAATTTTTGTGTGCCACTCATTAAATTTCCCTACTTCTTGACAGATATCACTGAAATAGATATCCTGAGAAATCTGTGAGAGCCCTAGACTCTGCAAAACCTAGACAAATCTATTCATAAGCATTTCCATCACCAAATATCAATGGCAGTTGCTCAGTTATGATCCCCATACTAAATGGCCCAATATAACTAGCCAAAACTTGCTGTAAACAGCAACAAAAAAAGAGCGAGTTGGGGGAAGCAGAATACCTTTTTTTGCCTAACCACAGCTGCTTTCTTCCCTTTTACATGGTCAAGTTTGCTGACAGGCTCAAAAGCTATTCTACATCGCACAAAAAGTATCCAAATAGATTTTATAAAAACGGATAGTTCAAGTCAGGCTGATTGGTCAATAAAGCATACCATCTAAGATAAAATGCACAATATTGCATGGGTTTCACAGACTATGTCTTCTATGTCTTCTAAATTTGGTTAATAGAATAATAAATATAAAAAGTCTGTGAAACCTTTGCTATATTGTGTATTTTATCTCACGTGCACAATGTAGCAGTTTCCACAGACTATATCCTCTATAAATATGCACGATACATGTATATATATTATTTTAAATTAAAAAGTCTGTTTTATAAATACATAGTAGCCAATACATGTCATATATTTCAATATAGTTCCTAGCCTAATTAGTGTTTTGAACAAATCACTTAAGTGAGCGATTCAATGACTTACTCACACAGGCCAATGTTACATTCCTGAATCATTCAGCAGTTTTTAATGAATTAGTTGACTAAATAACCCAGTGCAGACTGATCTCATTAAATGACGTATGTATGATACGCCAATTCATATTTTCATTTTTGGATCGCATAATCGCATTACTATATATATAAATATATGACCTACCCCAACCCCGTCCCTAAACCTACCCGTCACTGGGGTTAATACCATTTATAAGTCTTCCCCTACCATCCTAGATGAAAAAATATAGAAAAAATATCGCTCCCCAGATGTAGATGTACATTTTGCTTCATTTTGCTCGGACATTTAACGGCGTTTACATACAAGTGGAATTACTCTGACATTTAACAGCGTAGACATACACGCATACACGCGAATAGCTCAAAATGAGTATAGATAACACGCCACTTGACTTGAAAGTGGTGTGTATGTTTACGCAAAAAGTCATGATGTCATGTTGCCCAGTGAATCACACATAAAGACAGTTCTCACCACCTACTGAAAGAATCACTGAAATAAAAATCCTTACAGTAAAATCTATTTTTTGTGATTGCAATTTTTGCCTTTTGATCTAATCTTAAGTACTCAGGAACAGTAGTTAAAGGAAAGTCACTAGAGGAAAGCCACAACACTGACCCCTGTCAGAGTCTGGGGCAAATGTCCAGCAATAGTGAGTATGTAAAAGAACAATTACCCTTCTCAATATGACAACTAGATAGTTCAACTATAGGAAAATAATAAGGCAGCATATGAGTGCTAGTGAAAGGATCACAAAGGAAAGAAAGGTTTTTAATTGGCCATCGAGACACAACAGGTCCCTGGAACCAGAATGAAAGGTGTCCACTTCCATCGGTTCGTTCTCTGGAATATTCAAAGCTCTTATCCCATGAGGTTTGAGCATTTCTTTTTCCCCTGAAAGAACAGTGCTCCGCAGGAGCTGCAAACAGACTTAATACGTTTCCCCTCACACATGCACAAAGATGAAAACACACAGAAATAAACATGTGCACACACACATCAATCAAAACCTGCTGTAGCGATGGCTATTTTGTCCCTTTGTGTCGCTCCATCCCCCTTTTCTGCAGAGAAGTGCGGAACAGGATCCATTTACATGCATATCCTGAGAGCTTTGCAGATGAGCCTCCCATGGGCTGCAGGCTGCTTTTTTTCTTGTCACGTCGAAAAAATCTCAACGTCTACAAAGACTAAAAACAGAGGCACAGCAATTGATCCAAAAAGGGCCATCTGTCTTTTTTGTAATAAAGTGAAACATGATATTTATTAAAATGTACTCTCTCTCTCTCTCTCTCTCTTTCTCTCTCTCTCTATATATATATATATATATATTTATGTACATCTAGCCAGTAGTTATCGCAAAATAAACCTCGACAAACATTATTCCCGCTTATTACACAGCTACTTGCCACATAATTATTACACGGCTACTTGCTGCAAGTAAATAATTACAATAAAAATAAACGTGGAGAAAGCAGTTGCTAGCAAGCGGACGGACAATCAAACTAGACGGACATTAAGGATACGGTACAGTCATACCGCTTATTATACGGTATTTCAACTGCATTGTATGAAACAAGAGAGCGAGTCTGCAATACTGGATGAAAATTATATAACTGTACACAAAATATTAGCTCACCAAACTCAAAACTTCCACAAGGAATAGCCGTTCCTAGCAAGCATAAAGGGGGATAACATACCGCTGGATGCCACGATTGACCAATCAGAATCAGGTATTTCACAGAGCCGTATAATATATATATATATATATATATATATATACACACTTTTTCCCCCTTTTTTTCTTTAATATAGTTGCTATTGATTAACATTTTTTAATAGGTCATGCCGTATAAGTGATGCCATAGTAAAAGGAAAGTAATTTCACAGGAAGAGCCAGTAATTACATTTTAAGAATTGTTTTAAATTTGGAATCACATGCCCAATGAATCATTCATTAAGACCCAAAAGGAAGGAAGTAAATAGGGTCAATTTTGATATTACATTGAATTTAAAAATCACTTGGGGAGACTGAGAAACGCTGCAGCCATTTTTGATGGTTTCTCATCATACACAACTAAATACCTTTGGCTTTAGCATCTTACTGTGCCTGAGTGTTTCTCAAAAATACTCCAAGTGCAAACATGAGCGTGGTGTCAGATGGGGAAAAATTGTTAACCTTTCTAAATATTCCCACTTTGATAAAGGAGAGTCAAACTTCAGAGTGCAGATGCAGTGCAGTTTTTTGAAGAGCTAAAAATAAGTGCAGCTGAATTTCAGCTTAGATCCATTTTTTTTCTCCTCCTCATCTCTATTATTTTCCACTCTTGAATCTATCAGCAGGAAACATTAGCGCTTTTCCTTCACTCTCTCAGTGCAGATCTTGATCTGAATTATGCCACATCCAGTCGGAGAGGAAAAGAAAATGAATATTAAACATGGTTGACTTACAGAATCAGCTTCGAATAAGCTATAATCAGCTAATGCTAGCTGGTTTAAATCTTATTTGTTTGTTAAGACTTTTGTCTACCAATGAGAACATTCATGGAATGTTCCTAAAAGACTGACACTAAAGCACACAGCATACAATGGGACAGAGTTATGCCGTATCCTAACCTCGATGTGACAAGAATCTGCAAAGATTCCAACCAGACGATTTCCCCAAATTCCTCTTTTGATTTTTAGTCTCTCCTTCTCCATGTTTAATATTCATGAGGAGCGGAACTTTAGTGCAGTAATATTTCAGCGCATTCTGGGGTACTCGAAATGACAGCGCAGAAATAAAAACCAAGCGGCAGACAAAATATAGTGTCACTTTGTCACATCACGTCTGAGTAGGACACGGTTTTAGGCTTTGCCATGGCTGTCCAGACAGTCAGAGAAGGTCAGTCTAGTGTTATAAAAGGTGTAAAAGCGAGTGATGTAGCTGTTGTTTGTTCCCCTGAGAAAATCTCATGGAGTTTTGCTTTTTTCAGCCATGAAGACGTACCCCCTAATCTGCTCTCGCTTACACACGCTCACTCGCATGCATATCTTCAACCTTCGTGACAGTTAGAATATGACACGATTCCAGATGTCACCCAGCCCCCTCGAATAGAGTCGGGTGACAAAATTAAACACACATGCGCTCACACACAAACATGCTTTATGCAAATGGGTGAATACATTTAACTGCGGTGTGGAACAATCTTGAAATAAAAAGTTTGAGGCTGAAAAGCAGCACAGACTGGGGCCTCCTCTGTTCCTTCTTCCCCAGGGCCAGCAAGCTTCTCTTCAAACACCTGCTCTTAAAAGCGCACAGCTAAACCAGTGGCAAACGCTGTTCGCCATGACAGTCGTTCCACACTGAAGGGCTCACATTGTTACCCTGTCAGGTTGAGCCAACCATCAAAACGCACAGCCAAACTCAGATATCAGTAATACAGCGAGGGGGAGGGAGAGTGAAAGTCTTGAGATGCATAAACAGTTTTTCAGTAAGTGTGTCATGCATTGTATTATTTAGAGTCAGTCTGTGAGGTTTTGCAGTTAATAGTTGCACTTGCAGCTACATACACCAGATTATTCCAAACCTCTTTATGTCAGATGTCAGTAACTCCACAGATTTTCTTAAAGCAATCAATTTATATGGTAAATCTGATTTGTAAATACCAAAATATGCCTTTTCTATATGGTTTAATATCATAATATTCTTTGAGGAATTAGTAAACTGGATGCGTTTCAGATGCCACATCCTTAAAACCTTCTTTTGTCTACAGATAATCAGCAACATGGAGCCTCAGGTGACGAATGGGCCAAACTCTGGCACGGCCAACGGGCCCTCCAGCAACAGCCGCAGCTGCCCCTCGCCCATGCAGACCGGCGGCCCTAATGACGACAGCAAGACCAACCTCATCGTCAACTACCTGCCCCAGAACATGACCCAGGAAGAGTTTCGCAGCCTCTTCGGCAGCATTGGCGAGATTGAGTCCTGCAAGCTGGTTCGAGACAAAATCACAGGTAATAATAAGAATAATAAGGATAATAACAACAACAAAAAAGTTGCATTTGATTTGCATAATGAACGGTGTGCAGTAGAGGCAGAAGAGGCATAATGTCTTGGGTATTATAGGTTAAAAAGGGAACCTTTGGGATGGGAGCCACTTTGGTTGGAACGGAAGTAGTCAATAACTTTTCTCAGCTGTCTATTAATGTTAATCACATTAATTACAAGATTTACTAAAATATTTATATGCTTATAGCATATATGGAAATATGTTTAGAAATATTTTTAAAAATGAGGCAAGTAAGTGATAATACAATTATTTTAGGTTTAATAAAAAAAATCAATTTAGAATATTCAGCATTTTGAAGGTCCATCCAAAACCAGCAACCTTGTATCACAAATATTTCTCCACTGTTGAATATTTAATTGGACAAATGAAATTAATAATCAAGTCTTGCATTAAAATCATTGGGTCTCGGTTGTAACAGGTCAAACCGCAATTTTAGGGAAATTCCAGAGTTGGAAACACTAGATGAGAAGGGCTATTATTTGTTTACAGTGTCCAGAGAGAAAGGAGGAGAGAGAAAGAGGACATAGAGGTGTTTAAGCAGCACTCCCCTGCTAATAAGAGTTCTAATCCCACCGTAGTGACTATGTGGGTGGTAAGCAGATGGATGGCGAAGCTGCTCAGAAATAATGCCAGATAATGGCCTCCATTTTATATCCTACTTAGTGACACTTCGCTCTGGATAATCTCATTAAAACAGGGCCGGGCCTAAAGCCACTGGTTTTTAGACAAAAGGGGAGAGAGGGAGAGAGATAGAGAGACAGAGAGACTCTTGGCTCTTGACCACAGGTTTTGTAGGATTTCATTGCCAGGCAGTCAGATGGTCGGGCAAGAGAATTGTCATTAGAATCATCGTCATGAGAGTTGACACATGCTCCTTTTTCAGTCTTTACATGTGTGAGATTCACGAAAGTGTCAGGAAATCCTCACATACAGCAAATGGAACGCGTTTTATTAAATTGACGCTTGTGCGAGTGAAAAGATACCGTTAACCAGGATCACTCACTGTCTTACCGCTCTGTCCTTGTTCAGGCTCGGTAACACATAGTGCATCATAAATTTGGCTCTTCCCTGTACTGCACTCTTTGCTCTGGGATCCCAAGGGTGCAATTTCCCAGTTCAGAATTTTAAGCTAACAAATCGCTTCTTGATCATTGTAAAAGCAGAGCGAGCTAGGAGACTGCGAGTTCTCTCTGCTGCCGTCATTAGCTGCTGTCTGGGGTTCAAAATAGATTGCGGGGCATCAGAGATTGTATCTGAACCTCGATGTCATAATATTTGACCAGATCAACCTTCCCGAGCTCTCCGCTCGGCTTTCATCTATAGGGTCTGGACGTCGACGAGAAGTCACTTCTCAGCTTTTCAAAGAATTTTGACTTACGAGAGAGCCTTTTACACAGCACTTGAAAAGCTAGAGAAAGACGGCTCCCTCGACAAGGTGAGAAGCTTTGGGCCTTTGCACGTAATAGACAGGCTTCCTCTTTTCCTTTTTTCCCTTCCCCCGCTACTGTCAGCTTTGATGAGACGCAATGCAGTGATGTACCGTTTGCCACGGCTACTGTTCTCTTGCCCTGTCAAACCCGGGTGATTGCCGCTTGCCAAAGTGCCACCCCAGATTGTTTATCCGTCCTTCTCTTTCCTCTCCTTGCACTTTCACATGCACACATGCTCTCTCATCATCTTCTTTCTGACCTCTAGCTGTACTTGAATACACCGGAGACCTGCGGCTCAATCTTTTATTTAATGTAGTCACACACGCATGGATGTTTCTTCAACCATGGGCACTATTGGCCCTGCAGCCTTTTAGAAAGCGAAATACCTTAAAACATACTTTACAACCTAGTGTACTACCAATGTCCAACATTTTATTTTCATGCATCAACCATCATTCATTGAACGATGGAAATGACACTTTTAAACATTTTAGGATTAAAACGGCCAACTCCTTTGCTTGCTAAGGCTAATTTCATTAGTTAACGTGATGTATCCTAAATACACATCATTAAATATTTCATTATTCAAATATTTCATATTAATAGGAGAGTAAAGGACAAAAATTAAAAATAATCTATTCAAACGGGAAATTTACAATTAAAATGAAACATTTAACTGAAAAATATATTTTTATAGTGAATTTTCCATGGTTATGATTGAAGGATTAAAATAATAAAATCTGCACTTGAAAAAAAGCAAAAAATACATTATGAAGGCACTGTAAAGTTTCCAAAACAGTGTTAATATGACCTTCATATAATTATAATTCCCTATAGCTGAAGAAACAACTTTGTATATACTAAGAATACACAAATGTACTTACAAACCACAAACAAAATCATCTCTGATTTTTTTTTAATTATTCATTCATTGCACAAAAATAATTCTAAGAATAATTTACACTCTGTGAGTAAAAAAAAAAAAACAGTCATTGAACGATGGAAATTACACTTTTAAACATTTTAGGATTAAGTCTTATTTCATTAGTTAACGTGATTTATCCTAAATACACATTATTAAATATTTCATTATTCAAATATTTCACATTAATAGTGTGAAATATAGTAAATGACAAAAAAAAATAAAAATAGTCTATTCAAAGGGAAATTTACAATTAAAATGAAACATTTAATTGAAAAATAGATTAAAATTAAAAAGATTAAAGTGGGGGCACTTGAAAAAAAAGCAAAAAATACATTATGAACGCACTGTAAAGTTTCCAAAACAGTGTTAATATGCCCTTTATATAATTATAATTCCCTATAGCTGAAGAAACTCATCTCTGACTTTTTTTTTTTTTAATTTTTAACTTTTTTAAAAAAAAATAATTCACACTCTGTGAGTAAAAAAAAAAAGTGGACCAATATTTATCAGCGATTATGTAAACTGTCAGCAGAAACGGCTTTATCACATCCCTCTCAGTGGGGAAAGCATTTCAGAAGTCATTACCGCAAGGATTGTGTCGAGATGCAGAATAAAGCAGATGGCGATGCTGCTAACTTAGCGGAAAGCTTTTGTTTTTAAAGGTTCATATCAAACTGAAAATCCCCTACTCTAAATGCACACATCCCCAGCACAGTGTTGCCACCTCAGCAACACCCCAGTTCTGTGCTAATAATGAGGATAAACACATAGCCCATAGGGAGTAATGGTGATTTTCTTGTGAGCCAGGAATCATATTGAATGAAAACTTTTAATGGAATACATTAAGAAAGTGTTAACGCTTCTGGCTATCAGCACAAAGCAAAATGGAAAAGACTGATTGAGCGGCGGTTTGAAAGAGGAAAAGAATTGGATACTTGTCAGGCTTTCGACACGCCGGATCCTTATTCTGCGTGAAAATGAACACAATTGTGTTTAGAATGATACGGCAGAAAAAGGACACACTCGGGCAAGGACGTGAATTGATTGCATCTGTGATTTTCCATCTGATGAGGAGAGAGGGGGAAAGAGCGACTGCAGATAATCTTCTGTTCATATTCTTCAAGCAGTAAATAATTACCGCACGATTAAAAATGGCTTCTGAGAAACAGCGCCAACCCCCCTCGCACCACCCCCCTGCGGTTTGGGCCTCTCCCTGTGTAGCAGAAAAGCAACCGGCACATGCTAGCGCTCCCAGCCTACTTCGTCGCCTGCCATTTTGCTTCATTATTTTCCCTTTCTTGTCCAATCCACAGATGCCATTGTTGGTATTTAATGGCTTGGCGCAGGTGGCGGTGCTGCTATCAGTTCGCTCTGTGTTTAACACTTATGTAGCTTACATCAAAGCTGCATTGTGCGACTACTTGTTCAGGTACACAACCCACTCGCACGCCGAGCACCCAACCATCTGTCACGCTCCCGACCCAAGCGCGGTGTCCGCTGTCTGCTGCCAAGCCTAGCGCATGCTAACCTTAGCGCCAAGCTGAGCCGACATCAATATGTAGCTGTATATGGCTTCTGTCTCTACACTGACCAGAGTGCCGCCTGCGCCGCCCGCCAGCAAATTAAGAACGGCATGTGATTTAAAACCAGAAAGACATCTTAGCAGTCCTTCGCAGATGTGCTGAAACTCACACAATCACACTGATGAAAAACTGCAGGGAAAAGCAGATGTAGTGGCATGAAAAATTCATTGTGCTTGATGTTTGCAAAAGCACGTTGAGGTTTGAAACACCTCAGTAAGTGTTAGACTGCGGCGAACGTGTGAAAAACCACCATGTCAAACACGCGCCGTGTTTATCTGATGCTGTAGAAATAAAACATGAACTATTTCCCGTGTTTTGTCATTTCCTGTTAAAAACGGCATTAGGCCGAATTAATCCAGCCAACACATGCAACACAGCATCTAAATGGCGCAAGCGTACAGCTGAAATTGGTAGTGGGAAAAGGTTTGATAGAATAGCAGGAATTAGCTACCATAGTGATTGCAGGGAACACTGTCTTCCTCACATAATTCAGTACCGTGATGTGCTCCGTGCTCAGCCTGGAGTAAACAAAGTAAATGATAGGTTGTTATTCAGACCTCATTTACATCATTTGACAATGAACTTTCTGTCACCATTTCAAAGCTGCTGACAAACATGAGCACAGGAATAAACTAATCACCTTCTGTTTTGTTTTTTTGTTTTTTAAGGCTATTTACCCTCTATTGATTCATATAAAAATGTGCATGGGGAAAAATGTACTTTATTTTCTCTCTTTTATCTTTTTACCCGTGGCCTTGTGGTTAGCTGTTGTGCTGCAACAATAAGTTGGGCAAAATTCAGGATTAAAGAATTGGCCCCCTTTTAGTTATTTAGTATAAATGTGAATTGGCCACAGGAAGTTGAATTGGAATGACTGGAAGAGGATCTATGATCTATGATCCAGAACCAAGCTTAAACGGCAACAAATTTCCGGAAATCCGGACAATATTTCCATTAATGATCTCGCACATACTGCAAACTTTATTGTTCTTTTTCCCCCAGAGTT